GGAGTGTGCGGGCCGGGACACGGCCGTCTGCGTCCGCCCTGCATCCTCCCAGGTGGAGGGACGTGCGCGCTCGCGGTGCGTCATGATGTCCGGAGGCGGGGACGAGCCGGAGCGTAAAATCACAGCTCATCAGGACGTTGCGGGAAACCGCGGTCTGGGCCGTGTTTGTCATGTCGGGGCTCAGGGCTGCACGTGGCTGGAAGCCCACACGTGACCCAGAACCCAGCCGGGGCGCTCGTCATATGGGAGACCCACAGACTTTGGGGTATTCTCCTCTGCCCCCCGATCTCGGACCCAGCCCTGGTGGCCACTTGGCAGGGTCTCACTCAAATTTCTCTAAGGATTTGGTGTTCTTAAAATCCCAAGGCTGGGGGAACCAGCAGTTAGCGTAATGGCTATGTCTCTGGACTCCCACGTAGTCGACCCCGGTTCGCGTCCCGGACCCGGTGGCTTAAAACTCACGCCGGGCACGTGTGCGTGCATGCCCAAGATCCCCAGAGGAGAATAGAGGAGAAGGGATTGTGATGTGGCCATCCCCCCTGGGGGGGTGATTTCTCGCTTTCTGTCTCTCTGTCTCTCTCTGTCTGGCTGGCAAGCGCACAGTGCCCTATAGCAAAAATCTCTCCAAAAAAAAAAAATCCCAAGGCTGTGATCACCAGATAGCTTACGCCACTGGACTCCCACTGGACTCCTACATAATTGACCGTGGTTCAAGTCCCAGACCAGGTGGCTTAAACTCACCTTGGGCATGTGTGTATGCATCCCCAAGATCCCGCGAGTAGAATGGAGGAGAGATTGCGGCGTGGCCATCCCCCTGGGGGGTGATTTCTCGCTTTCTGTCTCTCTGTCTCTCTCTGTCTTTCTGGTGAGCACACGCTCCCTATGGCAAAAATCTCTCATTAAAACAAAAAATTCCCTAGGCTGGAAGCCAGTAGATGGCATGGTGGTTATGTCGTTGGACGCCCACATGGCTGACCATGGTTCAAGTCCTGGACCCGGTGGCTTGAAAATCATGCCAGGTGTGTGGGTGTGGGTGCCCAAGATCCCAGGAGGAGAATGGAGGAGAAGGGATTGTAATGTGGCTATCCTCCCTGGGGGCGATTTCTCACCTTCCTTCTCACTGTCTCTCTCTCTCTCTCTCTGGTGAGCATACATGCCCTGTGGCAAAAAGCTCAAAAAAAATTTTTTTTAAATAAAAAGAATCCCAAGGCTACCCAGGGCTGGGGTGGGGCTGACTGTGCCCTAAATCTCCCCAGCCGGGAAGGTCCCTGCTGTCGTTAGGGGCAGGGGGATATACAGGATTCCTTTCTGAGCTTTTCAGAATGATAGATCGAGCTTACATGAGGATTGCTAAGAATTATTTTCCTAAATGTTTTTTTTTTTTTTAGTTTATATGTTTATTTCTTCCATGAACAAGAGAGACACAGAGAGAGAGACAGACAGACAGACAGAGTCAGCGCCCAGCAGGGTCCCAATGCCCTGACCACCCCCCAGCCCCAGCCAGCCCCACATCACGTGGGCACGCGCATGCCCAGTGTACTCAGGAAGGTTTCCGGACGTGGACTCGGAACCTTTCCACGTCGAGTCGGCGTGTCAGAGTCACATTTACTGCCGCACCACCATCCGCTCCTGCTCGTCCGAATGGACTCCTGTTAGCATAGCCTGTACGCCAAGGAAGGGTTTTACACTTTTCAGTGTTTTTGAGGGCCAGCCTGCGGCATGGTTAAGGCAGCTGGATCGCACATAGCTGACCATGTGTTCGAACCCCGGACCCAGCAGCTTGAGAAAAATGCCAGGCCTCTGTGCCTGTGTGTTCATAATCCTGGCACGATGCAGAAGTGGGGAAGGGGCCAAGCCATGACCATCCCTTATGGGGTCGCTTTCTCCTCTCTCCTCTCTGTCCCCAGTGAGTGTACACACCCTCTGGAAAATTATTGTTAAAAAATGTTGTTTTTTTTAAGAAAAAGAAGACTATACCTTGGGGACCAGCAGGTAGGCATGATGGTTGAGGTGCTGGACACTCCCACATGGCCGACCAGGGTTCGAGTCCTGAAACTGGTGGCTTGCTTTCTCACGTCCTCTCTCGCTCACTCTCACCTTCTGTCTCTCTCTGGTCAAATTAAACAAATAAATGAATGAATAAATAAAATAAAATTAAAAATTATTTAAAAAAAAAAAAGAAGAAGACTATGCCAGTGAGGCCACGTATATTCTGTAAAGCCTAATTTAAAAAAAAAAAGAAAATTATCAAAGGGCACGAGTGCTCACGAGAGAGAGAGAGAAAGCACCCCATGGGGTGTGGTCATGCTGTAACCCTCTTTCCTCCATTGCTCCATCCTGGCAGGAGTTTGGACACACACACACACACACACACACACACACACGGTTCAAGCCACTGTGGCTGGGATTTGAACCGTGGCCAACCATTGGATCTGGCTTCCAATGCACAGCACTTCACCACTGTGCTACGGGGCCAGCGCCGGGTGTGTGCGCTAGCTGGAGACACAGAGAAAATGAGAAATCACCCCCTGGGGGGGACCAGCAGTTGGCATAATGGCTATGTCACTGGACTCCCATGTTAGTCAACCGCAGTTCAAGTCCCAGGCCCGGTGGCTTAAACTCACGCCGGGCGCGTGTGCATGCGTGCCCAAGATCCCGAGAGGAGAATGGAGAAGGGATTGCGGCGTGACCATCCCCCCTGGGGGGTGATTTCTCTCTCTCTCTCTCTCTGTCTGGCGAGCGCATG